CTAGTATGTACAATTATAATACGCACAAATCAATTACGCATACCAATAATAGTTATACAAATAACAATATACATACCAGCAATACCAATTATATTATTAATACGTGCAAAACGTTAACTATAGACTATATTAGAACTTTTTCAATTGAATATTATATAGATTTTATTCGTTCACAATTTAACCAGGATAGATTTCAAATCCATAGTGATTATAACGTTTTAAAACTATGCAACTATATGAATAAGTATACAAGTCAACGTGTTAATCTAAACGACAGTACTATTGATGGCAATGATGATGATAATGGCAATGCTACTAATATAACTAAAAATACTACACAACAATTATCAAACGTTTTCATGGTTAGTATACTAATTGTCGGTATATTATTGACTATATTATTACTATTAGTGTTTTTCGTGTTAATTAGTTTATATTTTTCCAAACGTAACACTAATAATACTAGTGATGATAATAATAAACGTAAATCATTAACAACTCTAGAAGTTTACGATGAATATAATTATGATTATCTATTAAATAACCTAGATAATATTAATAATAATAATTATTCTATTATTTATGATGAACCTATACATCCATTACAATACGATGACACTATTATTGGTCAACAATTGAATGATAATTATATTATAATGAACACACAAAATTAAATTATTTTATTTAATTATTTTTACTAAATTAAACATTTTTTAAAGACATATTTTTACCAGGATGATTTAACTAATTGATTATATGATTTAAAATAAAATCATCTTATAATATATATGTACGTTAAATAAATAATTATATAAAAATGAACATGTTAATCTATCGGACAATATTATTGATGATGATGATAATGGCAATGCTTCTAATGTTAATAATATTATTATAGCTAATGAATCAATAAAAATAACATTTTCAATGATAAACTAATATAATAATTATATTATTAATTATCAATAATTGGATGATATATTGAAATCAAAAAATTAATTTAAATAATATTTATAAAATTCAATATTTATTTATTTTTATGTTGTAGATACAAATTGTAGATAAATTTATTTATATAAAATTATTATATAATAATTGTTAAAACTCTAAATTTGAAAATAAAAATATAATTTCTATATTTAAATAATCACCATGTTAATCTAATTATTTTTTTAATTTAATTTAATTTAATTGTTTTTAATTTAATTTAATTGTTTTTAATTTAATTTAATTGTTTTTAATTTAATTTAATTTTTAAAATAATTTTATATTATATATTAAGAAATACATTATTTTCGGATCAAATCAACGTTTTTATTTTGCCAATAGTATGACTCATATTTTCAACTAATCGATGGCAGTCTAGCGTTGACAGCTATCCAGATAATTGTCCTGTAATTAATGATTTTTTTCAACAACAACAAAAAAAATTATTTAAATAATTCAAACAATAAATTCAATTTTTTGAATTAAAAAAAGTTAAATGTATGAAAAACACCGACATTTTCATTGAGGATGATATTAGCAAAAACAAGCAATTAGTGGGAAAGTTAGCTAAAATGTTGGCACAGATTCATCAAATGGATGCACCCGTTAGTAAACATTAAGCGATTGGATACTAGACTTTTGGTTAGAGATAGTTTCGTTAAACTAGTGGACAGGTAGTCTGTCCACTGAAACTAAAAGTTTAAATGAATATACTATCCGGTAATTGTACTGTATATACAGTATATATATATATATATAATACCATTATTACAAAAATTATTTATCTAAATAATACATACCTAACCGTAAAAAAAAATAATTATGACCCAGCTTAAATATGACAAAAAATTAATTAATTAATTATGTAATATTATATGTTATATGATATATATATATAAATAATATTTTTTAATAAGTTATTGAATCAATTATTTTTTTTTATGTTTACTGTACTGTACTGTATGTATGTATGAAAAGCACCGACATTTCACTTAAGATTATATGACAGACAAGCAATTAATGGGAAAGTTAGCCAAAAAAAAAAAATGTTGGCCCAAATTTCAACCAAATGGATGCACCCATTAGTAAACATTAAGCGATTGGCTAAACTAGTGGACAGGGAGTCTGTACTGAAACTAAAAGTTTTTAATGAATATAATTGTCTAAACTTTTTCAATCAATTGATCTAAAAAAAAAATTGGAGATGAATTGGCTGATTGAGTCATTGGAAACCTATATGTCCTCTACTAATAGACTGACCACCCACTACAGGTGCCGCCTGTATTATACAGGAATCAAGGGTCTAATACAGGTGACAGGAAAGGGCCTAACCTGTATAATAAAATATACAGTTTTAAAATATGTTAAACTAATTGATTAATAAAAGTATAAAATAACTATGAATTAAGTTTTGTTAGTAAAAAATTGCTTGTATTTTTAATATACAGTTTAAATATTTCAAATATTTTTTTTTTAAATATAAAAAATTTATAAATATTTCTAAAATAGTTCATGTTCAATATAAAATAATTTCAACTTTTTATATAATTATAGTATCTAAATTAAATTTTTCTTAATTTATATTATAAATATATACGAATATATTGTTATTTAAGTACAGGTTAACATACAGGAATATAATATTTAATATACAGGAAAATACAGGTGAAAATAATAATTTTATACTATTATACAGGTTTACTAATAAATTGGGTGGTCAGTCTATCTACTAATGGTGTCGACACCACCGCTGCTGACAGGTGTTTGTCTTAACCCATGTAGACATCAGGTACGGCAACACATGCGAAGTAACCATTGATAGCACAGGTAGTCTACTGTTAAGCGATTTTTTTTGGATCACTCATCCTATTGGTAGCCGTGGTCTGGATTCAGGAGTTTGTCCAGAAATCGCCGATAGATTTTTATCGACGACCCGACCAACTAATACGTCAATTTTTTTTGGTGACTATATCGGCGAAAGTGGTCGACTTCAACGCGACGTCGGCGACGGTAGTGATGACCAAAAATTGTGGTCAAAACGATCGGTCAATTCAGTGTTGAATTCGGTGCTAAATGAGTGCAAATTTTTCATAATAGCCTATCAATTGATTGTTATGTTAATCATTATTATGAGCGACAATGAGGTGCCGTTAGATTTTGAAAAAAACTTCATATGTATGTATAGATGTTATAATTATAATAATAATTTAATTGATTTTTTAAATTTTTTTATTATTATTAATATATTAATTAATTAATTGATAATTATTTTTTAATTTAATTGCAGGCAATTTTTATGATGCATCTATTGGTATCTATATTGAACTAAAGCGTATTTTTTTTGCCTTAAAATAATTAATTAATTAAATTGTTTAAAAAATAATTATAATATTATCAATTGCATTATTGTAATTGTTTTTGCTATAATTAAAAGTTATTATTATTATTATTTTTAAATAATAATTATTTAATTAATAAATATGATAAATTGAAATAAAATTATTATTTTTTCATATTTATATAATATTATTATAAACTAAATAAATTAAGAAATAATTTGTGAATAATTTTTTTTAAATATTAATTTTGTTTTAAGCAAAAAAAATATTTTTTTACATACATATAAACAAAATATTTATTAAACAAAAAATAATAATATAATTATTGAATATTTTTTTTAATTATAGTTTTAATTGTTTATTTTAATAAAAAAAAATTAGGAACTAATAAGATTAGACAAAATTTATATATATTAAATTGAAAATATTATATTTATATATATAATTTTTTACAATAATAAAAAAATTATACAATTTTTTTTATATATAAAAATAAAAAATAAAACTACATTTCTCTTGGGTGAAGGTCCTATGTATTTTGGGGAACTATAGGTGATAAACACACAATGATATATATATATATATATATATATATACGGGGAATGGGATGAAATGGGGAATGACAGTCAGATAATGGTTTGTAATAAAACAAAACAAAAAAAAATTTTGAACCAAAAATATACCAAAAAAAATAATTTCCCAAAAATAAACAAATTATATCCAAAAAAAATACCGTTTTTTAAACATTTAAACTAAAAAGTTATACCCAAATAGATTTATTTGTGTGTGCGATTAGGACATGGGATGGGTGAGTGGGTGTGGGTGTGGGTGTGTGTGGGTGACATGTGTTGATGTGGTAATGTGTTAGGAAGGTATGATGGGTTGTATGTGTGGATGTGTGGGTGAACAATAGGTAGGTGTGTGTGTATGTAGTATAATGTTTGTAAATTTGGTGTGACTTAAAATAATAATAATAATAAACAAAATTTTTAAATTTTTGGCACATGTATGTGTGTGTGTGTGTGTGGCACATGATTGTTATATATATCAATATATACAGTATATATATATATATATATAATAATAATAATAATAATTATAAAATAATTTTGATGTGTTTATATGTATGTATGTATAGTAGATATTTGGTGTCTAACTGTGTATAACAAAAAAATTAGGTAAAATAATTTTTAATTATTATTTTTGATGATAATTTTTGCGCAAATAAGTGATATATATTTTTATGAGTGTAGAGTGGGTATGGGATGTGTGTGTGTAGGTGTGGGTGTGGATGAATAAATGGGGATGGACAGGGAGGGGGTTTGAATATGAAATAATAAACTAACATGTATATAAAAAACACATAACATTTTTTTAATAAATCTACAAAACATATATATATATATATATATATAAAACAATATATATAACAACTAAATTGATGATTGAATGGTTTGAATGATAATGTTTTGATGATAGGAGATAATGATAGTCAAAGTAATAATAATAATACACTAAAAAATTGTTTTTATATAACAATAGTATAATAATAATAATAATAATAATAGTCACACATATATAATGTTGATGAGGATGATAATGATGATGATTAATTAATTAATTAATTAAATGTGATTAAGTAATTATTATTATTATTGACGGGGGGGTGGGTTATTAATAACCACCGGCACCGCCACCACCATAACCTCCAACACTACCGCCATAGCCGCCGGCACCACCATAACCACCGGCACCACCGGCGCCTCCATAAGCACTGGATACTGATCCTACGCCACCACCGTATCCGCCGCCATAACCACCGCCGGCACCATAACCGACGGCACCATAACCGCCGCCACCATAACCGCCGGCACCGTAACCTTCATCGGCACCATAGCCGCCATCAATATAGGCGGGTGCCTCCTCTACTGGATAATACTCAGGGATGGCTTCGTAAGCTATTAATTTAAAAAATTAAAAAAAAAATTAAAAAAAATATATATATATATATATATTTAAAATAAATCAATTTATAACAACAATGTCAATCAGCTAAATAGTAGGTCATATATATATATTGTATATATACTATATATATATATATATATATATATATATATATATATATATATATATATATATATATATAACTACTAATCATCTATCAACTAGTTATATAAATATATATTTGGTAGTTATATATTATGCATTATATATATAAAAATATATATAATTAATATAACTAACTAATCAATAGTTATATTTTTTATTTTATATTTCCTATATAATTTTTGTTGTTGTCAAATATACCTATATGTTATTGTATTATATATTTTTTTAGGTTATAATAAATTTAAGCTTGATAATTTTATTTATTAATTATTAATTTTTTATATAAAAAAACTTACATGGTGCATGGTGTACAATAGGATATTTGTGTACATTTTTGCTAATCACCACTGGGTTCTCAGGTTTTTCGATTCTAGGGGTAAAAAAAATAATAGTAATTTTTTGTAAAAAAAAATTAAATTAGTATCATGGTTGATTTTTTTTTTTTTTTAAATACATTAAAGTAAAAACAAATACAATAAAATACAATTATAAATTTTTTTAAATTTTATTTATATATAAATTATTTATTTATTTTTTTTGGAAATTTTAATTTCTAATTTAATTAATAAACTAATTAAATAATTATTATAGTGTTTATTTTTTTGTTATTTTAAAAATACTAACTTTAAAACTAAAAAATTATATTTTTATTTTATTATTTTTTTTTAAAAAAAAGTATTAAAAATATTTTGAACCTATTTTAATAATAATACTGTATTTATATATATATATGTTATCTTATTATTTAATAATTAAACAAGCACAATTATATATAGAAAATATCTATTTTTAAATACTACAAAAATTGTAAATATTTATTAATAATAATTTTATCAAAAAATCTATAAAAATAATATTAATAAAACTAATAAAGATAGTAAAATTATATTTGAAAATTAATATATATATATATATATATATATACATTTATATACTTACTTAACGGGAATGGGTAACGGGAGCGGGATCGGGAGTATACCAAATTTGGGCTCTAATATTAATAATAATTAAACAACAAAAAAAATGTTAATAAAGTAAATCATATTATAATTAATGTATCTTAAAAAATCTATAATTAACAAAACTATTTAATTAATTAATTAATTAAAAATCTATCAAAAAAAATCATCTTAATTATAGCATATATTACATAATAATTATATAATTTAAAAAAACTAAATTTATAAAATTAGATATACTTTAGAAAATTATTATTATTTTTTTTGGGTCTAATAAACTAAAATCTAAATAAAATTTTTAAAAATCTTAACTAAAAATAATAATAATTAATAAATTAATTACTTTTAGTTTTAAGCAAATAAAGCAACGATAGTATAGATTTCAATGCGTAGGCCTGTGCTCTGTCGCTGCTGGCCTTCAATGGTTTCATTTGGTCGCTAATCAGTACCAATTGTAGGGACAGTAGGCCAACAATGGCCAGTGTTGTCAATTTACGTCCACTGTATCCTATCGTCATATTTATTGTAATAATAATAACTTATTTTTTGTTGAAAAAAAAACAAACAAAAATTACAAAAAAAAACACTATTGACTTAATCAATTGAATAACAAAATTGATAGAAAATAAAAAAATTTTAAAACTTAATGTAACTTAAAAATAAATAACAAAACACTTTCACCAACAAAAAAAAATAATTTTTGTAGAAATAAAATTAATATAAAGTTTTTGTAATCACTTTATATATGCGAAAAAAATATAATATAACTTTAGGTTAAATTGATATATATATATAGTATATATAGATTAATATTAGGAAAAACATATATTTATTTTTTTAAAATTAGAGACTAGTTTTTGTTTGTAAGCTTTATATATTATATTATATGTATGTATATATAATGTAATTTATTTATACAATATATTTATACATTTATTTTTTAATCTCTCCCCTCAACAAAAAAGCGCCAAAAGTCAAATAGTATTACAGTTACATATATATATATATATATACTGTATATACTATATATATATATATATGTTAGATAAATTAGTGGACAGGTATGCAAAATAAGGGGTAAGGTATGTACAGTATATACAGTATATATATATGTGTTGATCTGTATATAATTTTAGATACAAACAGTGGGTGAGTGAGGAAGAGAGAGAGAGAGAGAGAGAGAGAGAGAGAGAGAGAGCAAAAAATTAATTTACGGAAAAAAACATATAACTGATTGATTTAGTTGCTCTAATTTTTTTGCTCTCTCTCTCTCTCTCTCTCTCTCTCTCTCTCTCTCTCTCTCTATTACTCTCTCTCTCAATCTATTTAATTTTTACACACACACACTATCACTAACTACCTGTCCCTACAAATACCCACTTTCCCTACTTTTTTCAATTACTTTCACATTTCTAGATCAACATATAGATAGTTGACTCTCTCTCTCTCTCTCTCTCTCTCTCTCTCTCTCTCTCTCTCTCTCTCTCTCTCTCTCTCTCTCTATTTTTGTGTGATAAGTAGTTTTGCTGTTGGTTTTTATAGATACTGTATATATATATATATATATATATAACTTATTTTTTTAATGATATAATTTTTTTTTGTATCGACTGTATATAAAATTATTAGTAATGGAAAAGAAAAAAATAAATATTTTTAGATAAAAAAAAATTATGTAATTATTTTTTGTTTGTTTGAAAGGCAATAAAACTGATTATCAAACTTATCATTTAATTTTTATTTATTTATTTTTTTAGTTGAATGATTAAAATCGGAAATCTGTATCACTTATCGTAATAATAATAATAATAATAATAATAATAATGATAAATATAGTAAATAATATATAAATAAAACTAGTTTTTTAAAAACTTTATTTGTATGCATTTATTTTATTAATTTTATTAATTTTTTGTTGTATTAAAATTACTAAAATTAGCATTTATTAGTGTTATTTTTATTATATTTTTAAAATATCTAAATTTATTTTATTAGTATATAATAATAATAATAATTTTTTATGCGCACATATATTTATAAATATTTTTTATAAAAATTATTTATTAATATATTATTTTAATGGTTTTTATATTTATATATATAATAAATAATTTCTATAAAATAAATGATAAGTCAATAATTTAAGTCATTTAATGTTAAAAACATAATTTTGAAACTTTATTTACAAAAAAAATATTATTTCAAAAAAATATATTCATATATATATTATGTGATAACAAAATGTAATGATATAAAAATAATTTTGAATTATTTATAATACACCAAAAATTTCACAAATTAAACATATATTCAATTATTATAAATGTAAAAAATTTTGATTAACAATTAATTATTAGTTATTTAAAAAAAACAAATAAACAAATTATTTTACTATTGCAACAAATATGACATAGAAATTAATACATATTTTTTTTAGAAAAAAAATTAATAATATATTAGAAAATATATAGTTTTTTAAGGATAAATGACAAACAATTAGTTTAATTTTTTTTTTTTGAATATGTATTATTAATTTTGTATAATTGGGATGAAAATTAAGTAAATATTTAAAAAAAACACTATACTATTAGCTATACATTAGTTTATTATTATTATTATTATTTTAATTGATGAGGAACGGTATATGATTAGATAATTTTTTTTGTAACTAATATTTTTGGGAAAAAATATATTGTAAAATGTTTTTTTTGTGTAATAAATTGGATTTTTTTTTGGATAATTAAAATATAATCAAATAGTTGTGTAAAAAAATAATTCAAAAAAAAACAAACAAATATCATATACAGTATAGTATAGTATATATATATATAACCAATAAACCAATTGAAACCAATTTATAATATATGATATTTTTAGTTTTTTTAAATTATATTATTACACATTATATATATATATATATATTAAAAAATGAGGATGTGCGATTGGGACATTGGGGGGGGGGGGATTGTTATAACATATGATGGACGGGTAGTAAATGGTAACGGGATGTCATGATGGGATGGGATGATTACAGTATATATATATAGTATAAATTTTCTATAGTATTAATTAGTTATGGATGAGATAGTGGTATAGCAAACTGGTAGCAAATTTTTTGTTTGTTTGGGGAGCACTTGTATGTATGTATTTACTGTATATGTATAGTATATATATATATGCTGTATGAGTATGTTAGTGTTTTGCACTGGGCTAATTTTTTTGGACACTATTGGGTTAATTTGGACACTGGTATGGGTGATAGTGATGATGATGATGATGCTAATGATGGCACTGGTATTTAAAAAAAAACTAAATTGTATGGTATATATATAATGGCACTCTGGGGGTGTTAAAAATTTTACGTATAATCATATTCGGTATGGGAATGGTAGGTATATGTATGTGTTTGTAAGTCTAATATATACAGTATATATAGACTTAACTACTGTAGGTAATGGTTGAATAAATGGCTATGGATGTAAAAACAGGTACATAAGCTATTGTAAAGTGTTGTAAACACTTGAAAATTATTATTTTTTATATATAAAAAAAAATTATGAGAAACGGTATGTCTTTTTTTAATGTGTGTGTGAAATGTTTGGTGAAAACTGATTATTATTATTAACCACATGAATGGATGATAATATATATATATATATATTTGTTAACAATAATAATAATAATACTAAAAACAAACAATTTTTTGTGTGTGTGTGAAAAGTTATATTCAAGCGGAACGGTATCTTCAAAAAAAACAACATATTGTAGTAGTAGTAGTAGTAGTATTGGTAGTAATAGTAGTTTATATTTAGTGATGAATACTGTGTGTGATATCCAAACAAACGATAAAATGATAAAAACAATGATTAGATGGAGGGGTGAGAGGGGTTGGGGTTTATTATTATTAATGATTATTATTATTATTATTATTATTATGTAATGCTATTTAATAGCCACCACCGTATTCACCGCCACCACCGTAACCGCCACCGCCTCCTCCTCCTCCGCCTCCATAAGCGACTGCCGAGTGGTCATCACCGCCGCCACCGCCATAGCCGCCACCATAGCCTCCCTCATCGGCGTAACCGCCATCAATATAGGTGGGCGCCTCCTCTACTGGATAGTACTCCGGATAGGTTTCGTGGACTAAGTATTTGTATTTTATTTGTAATTTTATTTAATTAATTAATTAATTTTATTTTTTAAAAAATAAATAAATATATGATTACCGGGTATACTGTGAACAATGGGTACTTTGTGTACCTTTTTGTTGACCACCACTGGCTTATCATGTTTTTCGACCCTATTATATAGGTTTTAATTTTAATAATAATAAATAAATAAATATATTATTAGTATTTAATTTGTTATAATAATATATACTATATATTTTTGGGCAAAAATTTTTTTTTTGAAATTAATTTTTATAGGAAATTGTATTTTTTTTATATATGAAAAAAAAATTTATTCTAATAGTATTTAATAATAATATAAATATATATATATATATATATTTAGACTATAATTGTGTTAAGTATATACAGTTAAGTGATATTAGATATAATTATGTACAGTATATACTGTATATAATTATTAGATATAAAATCTATAAAAAAAAATTAATTTATTTATAAAATTGAAAATAAAACAAAATTCATTAAGTAATTATGTTTAGCAAATTACTCCATAATTATACCTAAAATAAATATTAATAACATTTATAATACATACAGTATTTCTATATATATTATTTTAATTTTTTTTTGATAATATAAAATTTGCTTTAAGGTTAACATTTTAATATTTAATAAAAAAAATAATTATTTAATATATAGAGAAATATATATATTTTAAAAATAAAAATATTAATTGTTAATAATTACATAATACTAATAATATTAATAATAATAATCAACTTACTTGAATGGTATGGGCAATGGTAATGGCACCGGTATTATACCAATTTTGGGCTCTGGGAGGTATAGAGAGAGATAGGGGGAGAAAGGGGGCAAATTAATAAATAAATGAGAGAGAGTGTTAACTGTATATAATAATAATAATAATAATAGGTAATAAAAAATAGAGATTATATATTAAATAAATAGATAGATGGATAAATAGATAATTATGTTAAATTATTTTTTAAATAATTATTTTTTTTTGATGATTAAATCAATCAATGATTTTTTTCCAAACTAATAGATTAAAACTGTTTATTTAAAACTATTTAACAAAATAATTTATTTTTATTGAAATTTAACTACTATTAGCTAAACAAAAAATACTTGACTATTAGTTAATGATAAAAAAAATAAAATAAAAGTTATATTTATGTTATTAGTGTTATTAATAATAGTAATAATAATAATTAATTAATTAAAAAAATACTATACTATTAGTTAGTGATAAAAAAATAGATAAAAGTTATATTTATATTATTAGTTTTGTTAGTAATAGTAATAATAATTAATTAATTAAAAAAATACTATACTATTAGTTAGTGATAAAAAAAATAGAT